TTGATCATCTTAGCTGACAGGAGACCCTTGATCAACTCTGCCAATTTATCTCGGAACTGGATTCACAGCTTTCGACACTTAAGCGCGATCGGCCGAGCTCCTCCCACATCATTATCACACACAACCCCTCGGGCCGCTGGTGGAGCGCATTTCCTTTGCCGATCAGGAGATGTCGGAACTCCAGATCCGCTGGCGGAGCCGGTCGATCTCTTCAGGCGTCTGATTCTCGGATCCGCACAATTGGATATCCTCGATCCTCACATCTTCCGGCGTTGCTGGGACTTCAGGCAGTACCGATAGTTGTCCGTCGACATCTTCAGCGTAGAGATCACTGCCTTCGTGGTAATACACACATTCGTCGTAATCCTGATCCGAGTCCCAAGTAAGGTCCAGATCCGATGTGTCCGGTTGATCTTCCAGAACAGCTGCCGAAACCTCGTCCCTTTTCTGTGACATAGACGCGGCGTCCTTCTGGTCCAACGGGTCACCCAACTTATGGCTCGCCCCAGATTCTACACCCATCAATGATGATGGGTACGACCCATCACCCTTCAACTTCGCCACTTTCGGATCTTGGACTTCCTGATCTAGTGGATCTTGATCCGCACCAGTTACACCACTTCGAGCTTTCTCTGCCGATACCGTTTCCACGGCTGGATCCTCGACCAGGGGCAGATCCGCTGTTGTAATATCTGATACGCCTGGATCCTGATCGTCCGGCGCCTTCACGACCGTTACAACATGTGACATAGACTCGTCATCTGCGATAGACGACAGATCCGATCCATCACTTGCGACAGACGCCACATCCAACGGCCGACAATCCAGCGGCGGATTGTCCGACGGCGGGTTATCCAAAGGCGGGTGGTCAGAGACCTTTTGATCTCCACTTGATCCGCCCTTCAGAGACTTGATCGCCGTTGGCCTTGGTCGTTGCAGTATTTCGCGCGGAATTTCATACTCGGGGCGCTCCACCACAGGCCTTGGAGGATCTCCCGCATCCGGATCCGAGTCTGCAGATCGAGGATCCACGGTCGCTTCGAGGGCCAGAATTTGCCACTCCATGTAGCGCCGGGATCCCACTGAGATGAAACGTGGCAGTCGTGGGACATGATTGCCGGTCAGCCAGATCCCGATCCGCAAGTCCTGATGGAGGATCAGCACCTTGTCGCCGACGTTCGTGATCCTCA